AGAGAGAGAGAGAGAGAGAGAGAGAAAGAGAGAGAGAGAGAGAGAGAGAGAGAGAGAGAGAGAGAGAGAGAGAGAGGGAGAGAGGGAAGACTAGGGAGATGGGAGGCATTTAAATATGCTGGTAAAAGAGGACTTTGGCTGTCTGACCACTTTCTATAGCCATGGAGCTCTGTTTACCATTTGCATAGGAATCTTTTAGCTCTTGGATGGAAAAATCTTTTTTCCTGTAAAACTTCACGGAATTTCTGCTCCTGGCAGGGGCAACAGTTATTCGTTCTGAATCTTGAAAACTTATGACATGGTTGTCCAAATGGGCACCAAATAACGTGAGGAAAGGAAAGGCTCGACTACATATTTTAAAATTACCTTTGGTTCCAGTTGATGGACTGGGCAGGCTGCAACTGACATTGACAAGACTAACCCTTTACTCAGGCCCAGGGGATCTTTTTTGATCTAAAAACCTTGTCCTCCAAACCAGCTGCTGCCCAAGAACCAAACGCAAGGCCAAGACCTCGCTTCACATTCTGGATGACCACACATCCCACCTGCTTCTCTGTTTAGCCAGAGATGGCTTCAGTCTTTTTTTTTCTTAATATATTTTATTGATTTTTTTACAGAGAGGAAGGGAGAGGGATAGAAACATTGATTAGAGAGAAACATCGATCAGCTGCCTCCTGCACCCCCCTCCCCCACTGGGGATATGCCCACAACCAAGGTACATGCCCTTGACTGGAATCGAACCTGGGGCCTTTCAGTCTGCAGGCTGATGTTCTATCCACTGAGCCAAACCAGTTAGGGCGGCTTCAGTCTTTTTAATTTGAGCTTCTGTGCAGGGCCCTGCTGGGACTGGAACTTTTTTTTGAATATAGGTCCCTCTGGGTGAATTTGGACATTGTGTCTGACCCTTTAGTCACCTGGGGTTGGTTGAGTGACAACCATGTACTCCTAAGGATACATCTTGTCTCAGAAGAGTTCCTTTGTTATTTTAAGACTCTGAAGTGAGGAGCTAATTCTTTGGGAAGGATCTCCAACTAGTTCAGTGATTTTGACTAAACTTCCTCTATAATAACAGCTAATATTTATTGAGCACTTACTACCTGCCAGGCCTTCTGCCAAGCACTTTACACTTGTTATTTCACTTCATAATGAGAGCACAGCTTAAGAGATGTAGAGTATTCAAATTTTACAGATTAGAAAATGAAGGCACAAAGGGGTTAATACAACTTGGTCAACGCCATGCAACTAGTCAACAGCAAAACTAATCTCCTGATTTTCCACCTCGACACCAGATTTTCTCCTCAGATCTTCCTCCTGTAGCTGAGGGCAATTCCACCATTTCAGTTACTTAGGCAAAACCCTTGGGGGTCATTCTCTTTTTACTTAATTCTCAACCAAGAATATGCTTTTACTGATTTTTTTTTTTTTGATAGAGAGAAAGGGAAAGAGTGAGAAACATTAATGTGAGAGAAACTTAGATCAGTTGCCTCTATATATGCACCCTGACAGGGGACTGAACCTGCAATCTAGTTATGTGCCCTGACTAGGAATTAAACTTGCAACTCTTTTGGTGTATAGTACAGGCTTTGTGCTAATTAATTTTTTAAAAATAATTTATTTATTTATTTATTGAGTTTATTGGGGTGACTTTGGTTAATAAAACTGTACAGAGTTCAAGTGTACAACTCAACAATACATCATCTGCACACTGCATCCCGTGCTAATTGCCTGTAGTAAAGTCCCTTTCTGTCCTCATTTATTCCCCCTTTGCCTCTTCTACACTCCTCACCCTCTTCTCCCTGTAGCTATCACCATCTCTCTCTGTGCTTAACTGCTCCCTGCTGGCCTGATTGCCCCAACTGCCCTCCCTTGCTGGCCTGTTCACCCTCAACTGCCCTCCCCTGCCAGCCATCTTGTGGTGGCCATCTTGTGATGACATGGGAGCAGCCATCTTGTGATGATGTGAGGGTGAGATGCCACCTAGGCTTTTATTAGTATAGATGGGTGCTGGATTTTATTAAATGCTTTTTCTGCATCTATTGATAGGGTCATATGATTTTTATCCATTTTGTTTATGTGACATACCATGTTTATTGATTTGTGACTATTGTATCAACCTTGTAGCTGTGGAATAAATCCTACTTGGTCACAGTGTATGATCTTTTAAATGTCTTGCTGGATCTGATTTGTTAACATTTTTGTTGAAAATTTTAGCATCTATGTTCATCAGGGATATTGGACTATAATTTTCTTTCTTTGTAATGTCTTCATCTAGTTTTGGAATTAGAATAATGCTGGCCTCATAAAATGAGCTTGGGAGTCTTTCCTCTTCTTGAATTTTTTTTGGAATCGTTTGAAAAGGATAGGTATTAGTTTTTCTTTGAATGTTTGGTAAAATTAACTTTGGGACCATTCTTGATTCTTCTCCTTTTAAGCCCTATATCCAATGCTTTGGGAAATCCATTAGCTTACCCTTAACAATATATCTGATGCTGACCTCTTCTCTCATCTCTATTGTTCCCTCCTGAATCAAGCCAGCATCTTCTCTGGCCTGAAATATTGCCATAACCCTCCTAACCACTGATAGTCCTCCCATCCTTTAGGCTGGTCCAGCAGGCAGAGTGATCTTTCAAATATAAATCTGATCATGTTGTACCTCTGTACAAAAGTCAAAGTTCTCACCAGACCCTCCACTCTCCATCCCTTTTACCTCCCTGTTTCTGTTCCTTGCTCACTCTCTTCCAGCAACTGACCACCACCCTTCTTGCTCTTCCTTGGACACACCAGGTGTCTGGTTTTGGAATCTAAGCACTGTGGCTTTCTAATTGGTATGTTCTTCCCCCGGTAGTCTCACAGCTAACTTCAAAGTCTCTACTCACTTGCCACCTTCTCAATGTATCTCTATTTACATTTTACTAACTCAAGAAGTACCAAATCTTCTTACTCTGCTCTATTTTTTAAATAGGACATATTATCTTTTAACATAGTGTGTGATTCATTTATTATGTTTCTTACTTATTATCTGCCTTCTTTCTCATCCCCTCCCCACTGTTGTGTTCTCTGATGTATCCCAAGCACCCAGGGCAGTGCCCAGCATATTGTGCATAATCAATGAAAATTTGTTGAGTAAATGAACAAATGGACCTGGATCTCAAATCGTAGGGTAGTTATAACTTTGTTGTAGACATACAGCATTCTCAAATGAAAAGGGAATAATGCAAAGGTGTTATGAAGTGGCGTTGATCAGAAAACTTAGAGACATGCACCCAGATGAAGGTGTAAGGTGTAAGTGTACGCTGGAGTAAGTCAGGAGGCACAGAGGGACTTTACTGGGACTTCTTTTTATTTTGCAGTACATTACTAAGGACATCCTTTCTTCTTGGCTTAGAGGCCCAGGACTTAAATCAGATTTTTATTTACCATTCTACAGGTTTGGTTGAGATGTTTTCCCCTTCTCATTTCCCTGCCCAGGCAGCCTCAAGGTCATGGCTGTTTCTCTGGTATGATCAGACAAAATGAGAAATACAGACCCACATTGTTGGATCATTCAGAGCAGGGAGGAATCTGGAATGAAGTTGTTAGATTTGGGGTATTTTAATCATTTCCTGCAAATTGGCAGGCTCCAAAAGGGTCAGTTTCTAAAAGAATCAGGGAGGGCACACTTCTAGAAAATGTACTCCTTGTGCACACAGTTTTCATATTTGGTCTCCGGATTTGATGTTCCACTGACAGATCCTGGAGATGCAGACGTTTCTCAGACACTTCTTTGTGACAACTCTAGTCGCTTTGGTTAAGTAAGACTTTTCTGTTGTCTGTACCATTTACACTGGCTTACACTGCTTTTAGGAATACAGGTTAGCGCCTAACAGATGAAAAGTGTGTGCAGGGGGCGGGGTGGGGAGGCCGGAGTTTGGAGGGAGTGCTCTCTGTCACAAGGCCTGGCTCCCTGCTCATTAACCTTGCCTGCTCTCTCTCCTCTATCTGGGATAGTGTTAAGGACACGAACCCGTTACTGAGGGGGTTCAAACATGTCCTTCAAAGTCTGGCCAGGAATTGATCATAGCATTTGCCCAAACTGACCATCAGATCAAACTCATTTGTCTCTAAAATGATCTAAAAAAAAAAAAAAAAAAAAAAAAAAAAAAGCACATTTGGCTGCAGAATCTGAATATTCAGACAAAGGTCATTTTGGAAATGCTCGTGTCAGGAGCTGAGACCTGTATTCAAGCTGATCATGCCCAGATTGCCCTCTGACGGGCTAAATTCTTTAGACGCTGACAATGGGTGGGAACAACTACACAGGCCCAGCCGGAGACTCTTTATAGGGGACTGACATGAGGTCAGGGCAGCAATGTTTTTAAATGCTCTCCAGGTGATTTAATGTATAGCCAGAAACCAAAGCTACCTGACAGCAGGATCCAGAGAAGGGGCATTGGGGGAGCTGGCAGGGAAGACACAGTCCCTACCACTGCCTCCCAATCCCTGTGGCATAGGGCCCCTTCCTCACTCTTTCCTGCCTCATCCATTTTCCATTTTCTCCTGGATTGTTTCCATAGCCATATAAACAAGCTGCAATTTCTCCCATTCTAAATATAAGACTCTCTTTATACATCTTTCTTCAGTGACTGCCCCATTTTCCTGCTCCCTTTTTAGTGAAAAACTCCTTCAGACAAGCTTTCTGTATATGCTGTCCAATTTCTTTCTGTTGCATTTTCTCTCAAACCTACTCCATCTAGACATCACCCCTCACTACTCCACGGACACTGGCCTGTCTTGCCATCTGGTCATGCCAGTGCCTTCAGGTCTCATCTACAGTCACAGAAATAGGGAGCCTGGAGAAGCCGGACACAGGGACTTCTGACACACTCTGGGGTGCAGCACACCCCTCACCCAGCCTGTATCTGGCCTAGCAGTGTCGGGATGAAAAGTCAGAGAACAAAATACAAACCAGGGACATGAGAACGACAATGAAGCCTTTGGTAAACGGACAGGCGGTGACTTACACAGTGTGTGGTGGTGATGATGACAGAACTGGAGATGAAAGACAGACCATCATTCATGCTGACCTGGAGTGCGGCTTTCCTGCAAAGACAGCAAGGGAACCAGAGACACTCAGCATGGGGTGCAAGGTACTGAGACATGGACACGTTGGTCCCCTATGGGCTCTGCTCACAACTACTCTTTGGACTGTAGTCTCTTCCCCTGGGGCCTAAGCTGTCTCCTTTGCAAAAGGAGCATGGTCTCTAGGGCCATGCCCACCTCTGAAACTCCAGGGAGATATCAAGATACACTTGGCTGCCATATCAAGGCAGTGCATTCAGCCTTTCTTGCATTGCAGCAAATTGCATCGAATGGTCAAAGCCTGCTGCCATTTACTTGTCACATTGTAGTAAGATGCAGGATTCTTAAAAAATGGTCCCAATCAACGGGGCTAAACTGATCAAGCTGTAAACCTAATGTTCTGTTGTTGTTATCTGGATTCTCAGTGATGTGATTCTGGTGGAGGCAGCTTTGTTACTATCCAGTGAACAAAGTGCAGTAATAGGTGAACTAATTTGCCTTCTACCTCCTCATCTGTATGAGACTCACTGAATCAGGAGCTTGCATTTCGCAGGCTGGGCATAGGGGTATTTGTGGAGTCAACAGAATGAATAAATCACAGGCCCATGTTAGGCAACCAGGGTTGGAGGCTTACAATTTGAACACATTTTTAAGGCAGAATTCAGATGAATTAAGTTCTCTCAGCCACCAATTCCATATTTGTAATTTAGCATTTTCCCCTTAAAGCCACCATTTTGTCTTCAGCCTGTTACAGGCAGATCTATGGAGAGGTTTTGTCTTCTCTCACAGACATTGCTTCTCTGGTCCCCACAAATTTCTTTTCCTGTTCAGGGTGCTAATTCTCCTTCTTTTTCCAGTGACTCTTTCCTCATCACATTTCACTAGCACTTATTATAATTGCGCCATCACGGCATTTCCCCCATAAGTTAGTTTAGGGAGCATCCGGCAGTTTGGGTAAATACCGTATGCTCCACAGAGGCACAGAGGAAGGAGCACTGAGCTTGGCCTTGGATGGTCTGAATCTGGGCCTTGACCATCTATGGACACACCTAGCCTTTCTGCACTTCCTTATCTCTGCAGGGTTGATAATTATCTGATAGGGCAATCATGATGACAGGGCAAAGTAATGTGTGTGAGAGTGCTTTGGGAAGTAGCTGTGATTAAGCCAGACAGACCTTAGTTGGAATCCCAACTCTTTTATTTACTGTTGTGTGACCTTGGGCGAGCTTTACTTACTAGTAAATTCTCTCAGCCACTCATTCCTCATCTGAAAAACTGGGAAGATGTGAGTATCTTCATGATGACAAGTATCTTGTCAGAAACTTGGGAAGATGGAGTGAGACACCCTTTGTAAAACATTTATCCCGAAGCCTGGCTCATTGATATTATCATTCATTATCATATCTTGGAGGAGTCTAGAGAAAGGCCCACTATGACAATGAAGATAGACACTTCTTTCTTTTCCCTTTGTCCCCTCTATCTCCTCGCTCCTCTCTGAGGTTAGTTGCTGGTGAAAACTTACATGCCAACTTCCTTTAAGATGGGCGCTGGGCACAGCAAATGAGTATCTTCCACAGCAAAGGGCTTCTCATCTGTAAAAGGAAAGTCACTGGATTAAGAGGAGTGAGGCAAGTTTATAACTTCAAATTCAGAGTCTCCCAAGTCCTGGGAGACACTAGAAAAGCAATGACTCTATCCAAGTCCTGGGAGACACAGAAAAGCAATGACTCTATGGAATAGAAATGCATCTTGAGCTGTAAAAGTCACTAGTGTGAACTCAAGGCCTCCTGCCTAAATATGAGTCTCTGACCCTGTATGACCAGTCAAGTCAATCAATGAGCAAATAGAGACCAAGTTCTTACCATAGACCAGGCATAACTGAGAAGAGATAAGAAAATATTAGACTGGTCCTAAGGGAGCCTTGGGTCTAAGTCCAGTTTGAGAGGAAAGCCATATCCATGGAGAAAGTGCACAAAAAGTGGCTAGGCCAGAATAGCATTTGGCTTTAGAAGACAGAGAGCTTCATTTCATGGGTGACATGGTGAGGTCACAGGGAACACAAAACTTGAGCTGTGTTCCAGGGAGAGATGGGGAAGAGGCATTTTTGGTGGGAGGAATGACATGAGCAAAGACAGAACAAAATGAAAAGTATGTTCAAGGGTAGGACATAAATACGATGTTAAAAGATCTGTATGGGAAGAAGATTGGTCCAAGATGAATTAGGGGTTTGGACATAGGTTTAATTGTAAGACAATATTCTACTATTGGCATTTGTTGTGAAATTGAAGTCTTTTAATGACATTTTAATGTGGCTGACACTAAACACTTGCCCGAGTGGAGATTAGTAAGCCCCATGCCTTCGATGCCTGGATTTGAGGAGCAGACATACCTGGGATGAGAGTTAGAGGACATGTCTGAGTGCTAAGCACTATGTCCTCATGGAAGGAAGAGGAAGAGAATGGTCAATTACAGTATCCCCTTGATGTCTAGGGAAAATGATCAGTATGAAAAGCTAGGGAAGTTATTCCATGTCATTTACTCATCCATCCATCCACCAATCCATCCAGCAAATATTTATTGAAGGACTACTGTGTGCTAGAAACGCAAGCTTTTGAAGAGAGAAACAACCTCTGTTGTCATGGACTTCATAGGAGTTATAGGAGAGATAGTTATTAAACACATTCATTTTTATTAAAAAACTAGAGGCCCAATGCACAATTAAATCATGTGCGTGTGGGGTCCCCTAGGCTTAGTCTGCCATCAGGGCCATGTCTGCCGCCCTGTGAAGCCTCACATGCTCTGCGGACACGGCCAGTGCCCCATGATGCTCTGCTGATGCTGCAGGTGCCATGGAGGGGTGGGGAGTTTTGGAAGGTGTAGGTGGGGAGAGGGCAGGACACCAGACCTTACTGCTGCCATTGCTGCTGCAGGCCTCTCAAGCTCATTTGTGCCTGGCTGGTCCTCATTCCTCTCTTCCCAGTGTTGAGTGTCAGAGTCCTTGGCTGCTCTGAACCATTTGGCTCTTTCCCTTAGTAACAGCTTTTACTTTCTGCCTCAATTCTTCTCCCAGCTTGTGCCCTTCCCCGCATACTGCCTCCCCTTTGCCACCAGACCTGTGTTGTGCTTCCCACCCCTGCCCGCCTGGCACCCATCCCTTGCTCTCTCTTTGCCACATGGCCCTGCCTGCCTGCTGCCTGCCTTGCTGTGAGCTGAGCCTTTGGGGGCCTGAGGTGCTCCATGAACTCCTGGTGACCAACCTTTGGTTGTTACAGCGCCACAGGCCCTTTATTATATAGATATTCTTTCGAATATCTACCATGAGCCAGACACTGTGCTAGGCCTCACACTGAACAAAAGAGATGAAGCACCTCACTCAAGGAGCTGACCTGCTGGTAATTACACAAATTACTATCTATCTATCTATCTATCTATCTATCTATCTATCTATCTATCTATCTATCTATCAAAGCCTAAGTGACCGTCTGACCGTTTGACTGTCTGACCAGTAGCTATGATGTGCAATGACCACCAGGGGGAAGACACTCAATGCAGGAGTTGTCAAGCTGCAGTGACTTGGCAACTGCAGTTCTTGGGTGATGCACCTGGAAGCAGAAGGAGGGACCTTGATTCCGAGGTGCGTCACCTGAGAACTGCCCTCCCCTCTTGCAATCTAGGACCCTTGGGGGATTCAGAAGGCCAGTTTTGGCCCAATCCCTGAAGGCCAGGCCAAGGGATCCCACTAGTGCATGAATGCACTGGGCCTCTAGTTTAATTATAACTGTGGTGATACCAAAGAAGGACAAGGAGGGGGCCTGCCTTCATCTGGAAGGTCAGGAGCTGCCTCTCTGAGGAAAGGAGGTAGGAGGGAGAGTATATGGAGTGGGAGAGAGGCGGCACTGCAGAGATCCTAGGCAGGAAGGAGCCCAGGACTCTGGAGAACTGAAAGAGGGCCAACAAGGCTGTTGCATTGAAGTGAGATAATGGCTTAACATGAGGCTAGAAAAGGCAGCAGGACCAAATGACCGAGGCCTTATAGGCCCTGGTGGGGCTTTGGGGATTTTTCCTATGAGCAACAGAAAGCTCTTGGAAGTTCCTCTCCAACGTGGAATTAGCATTAGTAAATTCAGAATGTTGGCGGAATAGTGAGGGTATGCTGACTGAAATTATGGATCTGATGACAGCAGATCACTCAGTTCCTGAACTGAGCATTATATTTTCAAGACTAGAAGCTGGTGCATGTATTTGTGCACATTGAAAGGAAATCAATTAGATGAAATATTTTAGAGGCTTGTGAGGGACCGAGGCAGGTTGGCTCCGGTGTGTGTCTAGCCCATCTTGCCCAGTCCTGATCAGTGGACCCCAGCAGCAAGCTAATCTACTGGTCAGAGAGTCTGCCCCCTTGTGGTCAGTGTGCATCACAGAGACTAGTTGAATGGTCGGACACTTAGCATATTAGGCTTTTATTATATAGGACTAGAGGCTCAGTGCACAAAATTCATGCATGAGGTTGGGTGTCCCCTCAGCCCAGCCTGCATTCTCTTTAATCTGGGATCCCTTGGGGGATGTCTGACTGCAGTTTAGGCCCGATCCTGGACTGCTGGCTCCTAATCACTCATCTACCTGCCTGCCTGGTTGTCCCTAACTGCCCCCTCCCACTGGCATGGTCCCTCTCACTGTCCCCCTCTGCTAGCCTGATCATCCCCAATTGCCCCCCTGCTGGCCTGGTTGCCCCCAACTGTCCCTCCCACCCCCGCTGGCCTGGTCACCCCATGCAGCCTGTTGTTCAGTTGCTTGGTCATTCCTCACTAACCTCCCTGCCTGCCTGGTCGTATGCAGCCATCTTATGAAGGTGTGAGGGTCAATTTGCATATTACCTCTTTGTTATATAGAATGTTTTCTTATCTATAATGCCAATAATGACAAATAATACTCCCTGGGCAGGCTGTGTGTACATGCTCTCTAAGTGCTTTGCATACATCGTATAAACAAATTTAACCTGGAGTGCTATCAGTGAAAATGTTAGTCCCTTCATTTTAAAGGCAGGAAACGGACACAGGAAGAAACATGCCCAATGTTACAAAGGGGAGCTGGGATCCATGTCCAGGCAGTCTGATTGCCACCTCTTGATAAGAGCCTATGCTTTATCTCCTTCACAGTGACCTTGTGAACTAAGATGGGGTTCATTAGACTCATTTTCCAGATGCAAATTGAGGCTCAGAGAGGCAACCCCGAAGCACAGCAAGTCAGAGGCAATGCCAGGACTAGAACTGAATTTTCCATGATTTTCCCTGGCCAAGAGGTTCTCCATCCCAGGAAGGCTTGTATTAGAGAATAAACTGAAATTGGGACAGGCATGACTGACTAGCACCTACATTTATTTCCTTTTGGCCATGGCTTACCCTACTGTGCATGCACTGGCAATACCTGGGAGTGCAGATCGCTGCTTATGGAGCCTGCCCACAGAGCCACGGATCAGCCACAGAGCGGCCACAGCAGGCCTCGTGACTCCTGGCTGCATTCTGTGGGAAGAGCTGGGTCACACTGAGGAGGCTTCCGAGTTGGCGCCCTGCAGTGGCATGCCCGGGAGACACCAGGGCCTGGCATGTCCACGTGGTTAGTGCCCATGCTCACTCTGAGGCATTCTCTGCTCAGCTCCTCTCCCTCTCTCCATCCCAGGAAAGGAGGGAAAGAATGAGATTGACCTAGTCAAGTAGACATTTCTCTTTCTCCCTCCTTTCCTTTTCTTCCCTGCCTGGGAGTCCAAATATTTCTGGAGCAAAGCAGAGGAAAAGCTGGCTGGGAGGACTGGGGGCTTTGCCGGGGCTGCAGGACGGGCCTGAGGCAGCCTTGCATCAGTTTATCAGCCTCCGAGCTGTGGGCCAGCTCTGGGGAGCTGGCATTTTCTGCTCAGAGAGGGATTGTTTGGTTTGGAGCCTGTTTTCACTTCACCACAAAAATGAGTGACTTTTTCCCCCTCTCTCTCTAAACAAAGGAGGGCCATTTGGTTTCCATAACTCAGATCATCTGACTCCTTCCTGGAACGTCCACTTGGGAAGCAGGGCATAAAGCCTTCCGTAGGGCTGGGCCATGCTTGGCTCAGGTGCCAGGCCAGCCTTGCTGCCACCTCTGCCAAAGCCTGAGGTGCTGTGATGTTTATGGGGCCATGGTCCACTCTGAGGACGACTGAGGCTCAAGATCCTCTGCCCACGGGGCAACAGCCATTTCACTGCATTAGCACCGAGTGGGCTGGGCAAACAGGGATGGGAGCTAAGACCAGCGCTGGCTTGTTTGCAACTGGGAGAAAATTAGGGAGGGGCAGGAGTTGGAAACCAGAAGTTAAGTTCTTTGCCTTTTACCAAAGGTATTCAGAATCCAGTGCATACACATGACAGGTTAGCCTAAAGCGTTTGTCTATGAGTCTGATAATCAAACAGAAGCTTGATTTTAAATAAGGATTTGGGGAACTATGTATGTCATTATGTTAAACTGCCAAACACCCCAAGCTTGAGAGCTGGGCATCCCTGAGGACGAATGCAGAAGGCATAGAATGGGGCAGGGCAGACCAGAGTTCAAATCCCAGGTCTTCTTACTA